TATGTTGTTGTTTTTATCGTAGCCTCTTTGTTGTTTATCTTCTGATCTTAATATTTATTCCTTCACTCATTTTTAGTTTCTAAGAGCTCACTCTCTTCTGATTGCTCATTTTTTAAATAGCTTTTCTTTCTTTTTTTAGTCTTTCTCTGTTGCCCAGGCTGGAGTGCAGTGGTGTGATCAAAGCTCACTATAACCTCCAACTCCTGGGCTCAAGGGATCCTCCTGCCTCAGCTTCCCAAGTAGCTGGGACTACAGGTGCACTACCACACCTGGCTAATGTTTAAAAAAATTTTTTTTATGGAGACTGAGCAATCCTCCCACTTCACCCTCCCAAAGTGCTGGGGTTACAGGTGTGAGCCACTGTACCTGGACAGCTTTTCTTGTTTTATAGCTATAACATTGTTATTTCTTTGATACTATGGCTTTCTTTTGACTGTTTCTTTAGTTTCAATCCATTATTTCTTCTAAGTTAACCTTTCATTTTGATTTGAAGTCTTTCGTACTGATGCTGTTTTTCAAATGTTGGCTCTTTCACAGGCTCACATTTAACAGTGGGATGGTAAAAAGCTGCTGAAAGACTCTGGGTGCATGGCTGGGACCTGAGAGCCTTCACTTACAGACAATTATAGATTGATGCACCAGCCATTTTGTTGGGGGACCTTCAGATGTGAATATGTAGAGGTCTTTTTTTCTGGAGGAGTTCAGTTTTCCCAAAGAATAGTTCCAGTCTCTTGCCTTGGACCTACCATCCAGGCTCTGGTGATTTGAAGACTTTTACTTAGTCATTTTCTCTTTATCCCTTTGCTTCCCCTTCACCCTTATTCTTGGGTTTCCCCTGTGTATTCTCACCTGACTGTCTCCTGAATAGCCCACAGCTGTATGGGATAGGGAAGAGTCCTGGGCTCTGACTACTTAAAGAATTTCAAGGCCCGGCGTGGTGGCTCACGCCTGTAATCCTAGCACTCTGGGAGGCCGAGGTGGGTGGATTGCTCAAGGTCAGGAGTTCGAGACCAGCCTGAGCAAGAGCGAGACCTCCGTCTCTACTAAAAAATAGAAAGAAATGATCTGGACAACTAAA